TTTTTTTTTTTTTCACTATTGTTACTTCCAACGTGATAGCAATGTGATCGCTGCTTGAATCCATTCAATCTAGAGTCTAATCCTTAAATAATCCTTAGACTTTATTCGTAGAAACAACGTTCGCGAAACGAAATGATGATTTTTAGATTCGCTGAGGCCAGCTGGGTCCGGTTAATTTGAATCTCTATCTACGCGACGTCCTTTCGCAGTATCGACGTTATTATGACGTAGAAATTCCCAATCGATCGGCTGGAATGGATGGTCCACGTTTATTCGCGATGTAACATCTAGCATCGAATGAACGGGCTTTTAAACGAAGCAGCGATTTGTTTTCACCTTGCACATTAGAAATGTACGTGTGGCCCGCATTATATCATACGAACAACACGTCCACGTGATGCAGCAAATGAATTCGGTTGGCCACGCGTTTCGCTGAATTTCACGGACGCATATTAATGACGTACGATCGCGCTACCATTTGCAAATTTTATGCAGAACGATACGATAATGTATATTTCGCTGGTATGTTTCGTACTGAGACTGTAACGGAAGTTTCAGAAGTTTCACTGTATGTATTACGTATATAAACGTTCTCGGTAAAATTTGTACGATCGTGTTTACTCGTGCGGTGCAAATTTTTAAACTACGCGTTGAGCTTTCTCCGAATCTATGAGAGAAATAGATTAGCTAAAATAACACTCTTAATTTACGAACCCTTTCATCGGCGAACGAAAGTATATCGATAGAGCAAAATACATACGTTGTTTCTCAGTTCTTTGCTTCTTTTTTTTCTTTCTCTTTCTCTCTCTCTCTCTCTCTCTCTCTCTCTCTCTTTTTCTAAGTATGTTCGTTGCACTTCGAAGAATGACGTCTATGTAAATTTCTTTCTTTCATTAACGAAGAATACTATCCAACCTATTGAATCTGTCCGACATTCGACTGGTCGTAAAATACAGTAACCATCTTTTTCTTATCTCTTTTTTTTTTCTTTTTGTCTTTTTTTAATTGTCGAAGTGGATTTTCTACGATACGGCAACTACCCAGATTCCTTCGTTAACCTTCGTCGTTTGTAATACAAATTATTTTTATCTCAAGGCAAATATGTTTCACTGTTAGAATAAATCGCTGGCGCCAAGACGTTTGTGCACATCTTATGCGTACCACACATGTGTATATAACTGCATAGTTTCATACCGTTCCTACGTATTATATAGGAGAAGCAGCACTTTGTGTTTACATTAAAAATATGATACTACAATCGAACTTCAACAACTAAAGCCAAGTATTGAACCTCCAAGGAGATCGTGTTGCAATCGTGGGGAAAAAAGGGAAAATCGAAACACAGTTCTTCTAAATGAAAGATTCTCAAAGAAGAGTCTACAGAAAATTGATGCCTTTTCGTCTCGTATTTCCACAACGCCATACAAACTACAAACGACGCGTACTTATCATTAACATATAGTGAAGAATTAAATATTCATTGTGCTACACGTTGCGAATACATTTTGCGCGTGAATTTTGCCAGCTACGAGCTAATACTTTCCTTTAGGAAGGAAATTAAAATTGCAAATGAACGCTCACCGTGACCGCACATCAACGAGAAGACAGTCGAACGAGAAAGTTTCATCCATCTTCTCGTTGATAATCTTATGATTTACGTATTTCATATGTATCGAGCACGTGGAAGATATAAGACGAATATATTGTGCAACGTTCGAATCTGTATAAGCACGAAAAAATAATCCGCTGTTCGGTATTTAGCATTCACATGTAACATTAAATTTCACTTACACACGCAGTTAGAGCGCCTCTTAAATATATACGTATTCCTTTTTCACGTTTTAAATAGTAAGATAGGCCATGGCGTTATTTTCTTAATGTACGTAAGAAGATCTGGCATAACGAAAATATCCGCACAGATTGCACGAGATACAATACAAGTATCTCGAGTGTAAAATAATCGATAAAAGTCGAAAAGAAATTATCACGGCATTTTCAAGCAAATTTCACTTGCATCGCGGAAGCAATGTATTGCTCATTGCACATCTTTCTTGTTTTTAACAATGGACTATATCTGTCGGCTTCCATTGGCTAAACATAACACCTGACGTTACGTTTTCTGAAATACTCGAACACGACAAATATTTTATATCAGACCTTTATAAATATCAAAGCCAATAATCTAATAGCCAAAGGCAATACTGCCTTACGTTAAATACTTCATTCTTGATTCAGAATATTTATTATTCATTAGGCTTCAAACACCTAATGCGTA